CCGCCCCCTCTGGATGGCCTGACCTACCGGCCGCCTCCTCTCGCACCCTTAGATGTAATGGACCTGAGAAGCAGATAATTACTTTCATCCCAGTACCGTCTTTTCATCCTTTCCACCATTCTAAGCAGAGCATATCGCGAGAACATCCGGCCTCTCATTTCTCTCTGGTACTAACCCACCTGGATTGTGACATTAATACCGGAAACCTGAGGAACAATTCTTGGTACAGGATTGACACCAGTTTCCGTTCTGGAGACCTCGAGGGCGTCTATGCGAATGGTGGTATAGCTGCCAGGAGGAGCTTGGATTAAATAGTTATCGCTCGGAACCGCTTCTCCAGGTGAAGTCGCGTCCCAGAACACATCCTGACATTATCGAGTAACTCCCATCGAGAAAGTTTAAACTATTCTAGTAAAGACCGACCTGGCAAAGTTGGTCGAATGCTTTCACTCGCTACTCAGCTACGAGAAATTCAAACTCTATCGGCTCTCAATCCTTTCGAGGCGGCAGCAGCAGCTTCCTTGGATCTCCTGGCGTTAACCTACAGTTTCCACAAATTTCCCTGAAGAGAAGCTCAACTTTAATATGGTACGGGTTTACCTTTCCAACTATCATTGATTGTCTTTACTTTGTGATGCGTCAGAACTTTGCTATGACCCAAAGTCCACGGAGTGGTACTATCACTTTTTTATGGTGGACCGTGGTTTCCTGCTGATTACCTTGAACAAATAGATTTAATACTACAGAGCCGTAACGTTCCACGTGGAGCCAGTAGGTCCCGAAGAGATTTCAAATTGATTATGAGGAACCTCCTCGCGAGGGGAATGCGCCCTATGTATTAGGGATGTGAGCCAGGAAGGTTAAGAGGGTGGAAGGAGTGGCATTAGCCCCGGAGGAAGAGAGGGTACTGCGCAGAGGGAGGATGAGTTTGCGATTAAACATGATTATAATTAGGGATAATAGAGTTTCGGTTTGGGAGTTCGAAACGTGGTGGTACTAGTCCCCTTCGTCGAGAGAAGCCGCTTCAAATCGGCTACACTGAAGTTGCTGGGTCCCTTCGCAGCTGCCCCGGGGCTTGGTTTATACATGCTCATGCATCTGCGACTATATGGTGGCCGGAGGCAGGTGCATGTATGCATGCGCTGCAGCCTAATACGTATCCACGAACCTTGATTTCTTTTGCATACGGAATTAATAAAAGTTTCTGTACGTCAATTTGAGGCTCTTTGTACGTTGGGATAGCTTCTTTTTTTGTTGTTTTACCGGGAACAATAGTTCGGCTGACCGTAATTTACTGTGTTCGACGTGAGAGAGCTACGGTGGTGGCCCACGTATGAATAAAGCAATTTGAATTGGGCGAGGATACGAATAACTGTAGGAATGAGAATGAGAGGGCGTTAGGAACAATTTACAAGGCTTAGTTAAGGAACTTTCTAATGTATCCCAGGGGATCGTGACTTGAGACAGGTCACGTAGTCAATGACTCTACGAGGCTGAAACGCACCCTAGTTAGGTATACGCATACCCTCTGGAGTATCTCTCATAGTTTCATCCCTTGCGAACAACAACGATTACGTGATATTACCATGTTTCTTGCTTCTGCCCTGTTTTATCATCTGAATGGATCGTGCTGGAGGAAAACTGTTGGATCGTAATCTGGCAACGAGGGTGGAATTCCTATTGGTAGATTCAATGAAATGAAAATTAATTGTACGAAGGAAAAATATATATATTTATTATAATAGATTGTAATTAGGTCATCGAGTACTATGGTTTTGAATGATTCTTCACTGCGTAGCTCAAGTTATGTATAACTACGGAATTAATCTTAATTGTTTTAAAGAAATTTACAGATTTTACGTCTAATTGTTACTCCATAACGTTAGTCGTCGTTTGCTGGGCGAATAAATCCGACTGCACGGCGTTAAGAAACATGGGCACGCTGTGTTGTCTCTGCAAGTATTGTTGTACTTGTCGTTCCAGAGTGGCTGAGAATGCCGTCTCCAAAAGGTCCACGCCTTCCTCGCCAACGTGGAAGAATAGAAAATCATCCGGTGACTCTGCGTACAAGCTGAATAATTTATATTCTCCCTCTTTAGTGCGGTCGACTCGCCAGCCAAATAATTGATAACAGGCCTGACGATATTCTTGGGAAGATACTTTAAAAGCTTCCTTTAGCCGTGCAATTTTTATCTCGTGCGTCTGTTTGAGCTCTGCAATTTCTTGAGCTTGGAGAGAGGATCCCGGTAAAGGTATAGCATTGGCTGCAGTTCCATTATTGCCAAGAGATACTCTAGCTCGAAGTTCCTCGACTTCTCGTAAAAGGGCTTGTTGTTTTTCTTCAGCCTGCTTCTCCGCTATGGCCGCAGGATTCATGGTGAAATGCAATATTCGGGCGTTACAATTAAAATCGCCCTTCAGTGCCCTATGCTCCAGTTCGCCCTTTAATCTGTCAATCTTTTCCCGCAATGCCTGACATTCTGCTTTCAATGCGCTACCATCGGCAGCCTCCAGATCCGCTTCCAGTCTAGCTACCAGGTTCCTGAAGATTCAAAAAGTTCTTTGGTATACTTGTTTCAGGATATTGGAGTGTGTAGGAAATATAGTGTACCTGTAACCATCTATCGCTCTTTCGAGGGCTGGAATTCGCTCTGTCAATGCACTATTACTTTCCATAATAGTTATTTCCTTTTCGTAAAGGTCCAGCTGCTGACGATAACTGTCCCTTTCTCTCGTTACTAAAATCATTTTCCGTTGTAACCTGCTAACCAGTTTATTCAGTCGTTCGCTGGAGGACGTCATTTCCGTTGCCAGTTTTTTTGCCTCCTCGTACTTCCTGTGAAGATTTTGACATTCTCGTTGAACGGCATCCATTTTTGAACGCAATTGACCTTCTTCAGCGGTCAGGATGGCTTCTGCTTGTTGGAGGCGATTTAGTTCTCGTTTTATTGCCGCTGGACCACCACCTATACCAATAGATTCGTATTCTGAAACTCGCACTAGGAGTTCAGATCGTTTGGCATCCAGAGTCGCAACCTGTTGTTCTAATTTTTCAGTGTGTTCCAATCTGCAAATATATTAACGTAAAACTGAATGTATATCACTATTAGGTTATAATATACCTTTGCATAATGTTGGACATCTGCTCCTCAAGAAGTAGTTTTCCTTTAACCGATTCCCTGAGAACAGCAATAGTCTCTTTGGCGGATTGTAATTCTTTCTCCAAGTCACTGGCCCGAGCTGCCCTGTTCACCATTAGCTTACCCTCCTCCCATAACGCGCGCTCGGATTCTAATTTTTCTAATTTAATTTTAAGATTTTGCAATTCTACGTTTTGTAACTCCAATTCTTGTTGAGACGTCATAGACTCGCGTAGTTTCTGTTCCAATTGAGCAATCCTGGCCTCTGCGGCTTGCAGTTTAATTACAGTTTCGGGCGATTCGTTTTCAGGATCCTTGGGTAAGGATGAGATGCTGCTTTTGGACGAAACTTGTTTTAAATCATCTAAGAGTTTTGCATTCTCATTCAGTACAGAAACTGTTTTCTGTTCTAGCTTTGTTTTTGTCTGAAAACATGTGTTACATATTTAGTATACCGATAAGTTTCTTTATAAAGTAGAACTCATGATAGAGATGTTACCAGTAATAGATCTTTTTCAGCAGCAGACTGTGCTGCTCTGGCTTCCTGTACAGTTCTCCTAGCAACATCTAATCTTGCCTCTAATTGCGATATAGTTTGATTATCCTGCTCCACTTGGACTTCTAAAAGATTTTTTTCCTTTTCAAAGACTTCTTCCATTTCCCTGCGTATCTTATGTAGTTGCTGAACAGTAGCTTCCTGGTGAGATAATCTTGTTCGTAGAGAAAGTACTTCACCCTTCAAACGTCTCCATTCCCAGGGACTTCCAGGAGCAGAACCACTTGTTTTATATAACGTGGAATTAGTAGACTCATCCAATCTTGCACGCTTAGGGGTTGATACATCTTCATCGTCAGATTCCTCTAAGAGTGAATGTGGAGTAACACCTGCAGAGGACAATCTTAACGATAGTCCACTGTCCCTGCGATAACCCTCTGATCCTGATCGCAGATCTTTAATCATTTTAATGACACAAGTTGGATCTTTATCATTCATCTGGGAACAAGAGGAATTGTGCTGGCTGTATATATTTATTTCTAGTAGAAGAATCAAGTAATGGTTAGTTTCAATAAATTGTTTATCATGGCTGGTTTGTCATAACCTTACAACAACGGCTGTTGCATTTGTCAACTGGGTTCTTCATAAAATTAATAACTTAAACTTATTCTGATTCAACACGTACTTACCGTATATGATGGAATTTATTTCACTTGCGATTAATTATACAGCTAAAAGATATAATAAAAATACAGTTAACCGCCAAACTTGTTTTGCATCGTTTTAGATGCTCATGGCTAGATGTCGCAATTTCGTCTGGAGTCTAACCTAATCAAACCTGGTCGAAAAGACTTGAGATTCTGTGACCACTTTTGGATTCGTCATGATAATTATTTCTAACTAATATCCCTCAAGCCATTGCCATAAATACTGTAACTGAGAGGTTTACTAGTAATTAAGATAAAATGTATTTATTGTACGTAAGTGCCTGTGTTCTACTCAGTAGCAATTTACTAGGAGCTGCAGTAAGTACTTATTGGTCCAATTGGGTGTTTTTAAGGTAATAACATGATAAATCTTAAAAAGTAATAACATAATTTATTCTATAGAGTGAATTGGATTATGATGGTTGGCTACATATACGGCTCTTCCATGCTCTGAACGATGACCCAGTACCACAGTACGTCGAGAGAGGCAATATTACAGTTTCCAGTGTACGCAGTGGAGCGTCTACCATTGGGCAGCATGGATTGCAGCCTTCTCAAATAACGCAGTTAAAATATCTTGCTGAAAAGGACAGCAAGTATCGGTTGAAAGCCATAATACGTAGTGCGTCTGGAGGAGAAAATACATTCCTCACTTCACTGCCAGCTGTAACGATTCAGAACTTCTTTCAGGAATTATTGTGTATTCGTATGCTAAATTAATAATTTATATTTCAGTGCTATTTATTAGGATCGGACTTGGAAGATATTTTAGTAATATGGATAGATAGTGCAGCAGAACCAGTAGCTGTGAATCTACTCTCTCCAACAGGCTGTACCTTAGACAATCCTTTTGCAAAAATGTGGAGCACTAGCGTCCAGGTGAAATATCCAGAAAGTGGACCTGTTCCGGATACTGCTAGCTATATTCAGAAACTAGAACGAGAACGGGAAGCCCGTGAAAGGGGAGAAACCAAAGATAACCGTTCCTTCCTAGCTAAATACGTAAGATCTCAGAAAAAAATAATACCAATGGACTTTCGTAGAACAGACTATAAAGATCATAACATTTATTTTTAGTGGATGTACATCGTCCCTGCTGTAATCTTCGTAGTTCTGACTTCTGCAACAAATCCAGAAGCTGCTGGTGGTGGTGGTGGAGGTGGTCAACGTCAATGATCTCTATAAAAATATTGTTTACACCTATCTACCTTTCGAAATGCAACATATGATGTTGCAATAAAATATTCGAGTGTGCTGACTACGTGTAAAATAATACCATGGCGTAATAAAGCAACTCATTCATTGGCAAGAGCCAAGACAATGTGAATCCAATTAAAAAAAATAATATCTTAAATTCATAAGTACTACATTCTAGCACATGTATATTATCATATATTTATAATATATATACGTAAACTGAGTTCGAATATAGAGGCGTCACAATCCCAGAAAATCAATACACAGCGCCACGATTACCATCGCCATAGTAGACAGTCAAGTCACACAGTGGTCAAGAAAACAGTAAATGGTTTGATATGGCCGCGTTTTCTCTTTATCTTCAAAGACGCATCCAGCCGACGATTGTCGCCAGTGGTAAATTCGATGGATCTCATGCGTGTCTAGCCGTTGCCACTTCCAGTGGGAATATCCTGGTGCACAGTCCTCACAGGATACCATCTACAACGAACCCTAGCAACCCTCAGGGTGAACAGAGCAACGCTCGACTCGCTTGGAGCGGCGAGTTGGCCGAGTTGCAAATTGGCAAGCAGGTCTGGCTTTTTAAGAGCACTTTGAAAAACGCACCAAGGATTTTCATGCACCGCGTGTAATAATGACGATAAAATAAATCAAAATTCCCACTGCTGGAAAATTCCATGAATTTCTTTAACTTAGGTGACCGCCATTTGCACTGGACGTTTTGGGGAGGATGAAAGAGAAATACTCTTTGTAGGAACTCTTACACATTTATTAGTATACAATGTCGAGGACAATGCTGATGTCTTCTACAAGGAGGTAGATAACTTGTATTAAATGCCTTCAGAGGATAATATTTTTCAACTAGATATCTGTCGTATACAGATGCAAGATGGCGTTCACTGTATGGCTGTTGGAAAACTGGGATGGTTACCAAATCAAGTAGCTATAATTGGTGGAAATTGTTCTGTAACCGTTCTGGATTTCCAAGGTAACGAAATATTCTGGACGGTTACAGGAGACGTCGTTACCTCCCTGACGCTCTTCGACTTCGATGGTGATGGGAATAACGAAGTAATGCAATTAAAATTGTAGATAATTTATTTAAACATTTTCAAACGTCAAGATTCACGTTTCAGCTACTCACTGGAACGGAAGATTTTGAATTAAAAGTACAGAAGGAAGACGCTGTACTTTGGGAGACCAAGGAAACTGCTTCCGTTACCGCTCTGACGTCACTTCCTAATAGACAGTTTGCCTATGCTGTAGGAAATGGTACCGTCGGTGTTTACGAATCGGGACAAAGACTCTGGCGCGTTAAAGTAATTGTCTCTTTATATCTGAATACCTCCTAAATATTTTACATAATTTTGTTTCTGTAATATTTTACTAGTCCAAGCACAGAGTCGTTTCTATTCGCGCCTTCGACGTCAATGGAGACGGTATCCTGGAATTGGTAACAGGTTGGAGCAGTGGAAAGATCGATGCCAGATCCTGTGCCACGGGAGAAGTTATATTTAGATGTCAGTTATCCGCAGGAATTGCTGGTATAGTAGAGGCAGACTACAGGAGAACCGGAAGATCGGATCTGGTTGTAGTTTCCGTTATTGGAGAAGGTATACGAATATCATTGAATAAAATTAATTTGATATGATATTTATTAATCCTATCTAAATTTTAATTGTTCCAGTTCGCGGATATGCTGCCGGCTCTATCGTAGATTCTTCGGAACCCGGGGAAACAATGCGTGAGCTCCTGGCCAAGAAGCATGCACTACAACTGGAGCTTCGTCAGCGAGCAGCTGCTGTCCCCAGCACCTATCATGGCACCAGGTTGGCAATTAGCTTGACGTCCAGCAAAGGAGCTGCACGATTATCTCTGGCATCTGGACCAGGACTCCTGGTACATTGCGCTGTCGTATTTGCTGAGGGTGTCTTTGAGGGCGAGACCCTGGTGTCACATCCGAATAGACCAAAGGGTGAGTTGGAGATTGAACTACGACCTCCGAAGAACGAACCTGTCGATATTCACGTGAAGGCTTGCGTGGGACCACCTGGAGCAGATCTTCTTCAGGTCTTTGAGCTGACCCGACAACTTCCCCGGTTCTGCATGTACCAGGCGATATCACAACCTGACGAAATTCCTGAGGAGTTACTCGAACTCGGTGTCTTCACAGAGGTATGTTTTATTGTCAAATAATTGATCTTCCGTTCTATTGGAATAGATGATGTTTAAGCTACCACGATCAGGTACCTGAGAGGCCACAAAGAATTGCTCTCTGGCTCAACCAGAACTTTTTACTTAACGAAGAACTCGAGGTTCCCGAAGACGGAGTCAACGCCGGCTCAATTGACTTCTGGTTCCGTGGACTCAGAGATGAGAAATTGCATCGTTTCAATGCTACAGTTTCTGGCCGTGTTACTATTAATACAGAGGATCCTGCATTTGCTGGTGATCTCATTCAGTCACTAGCTAGCTACCTAGGATTGAGAGAACTCAATTCCGAGGCGAAGTTTCCTTTGGAGGAACAACGATTGTCAGAGGTCCTGGAACGCGTTCGGGGTTCGTTGAAATTGTTTTTTTCTTTTTTCTTATCTTTTCACAAATGATATAATGACTGTTCCCCAAAAAGGTTTACGCGAGACCGAAGCTAAGCTTCAAGGGGAAACTGCGAATGCATCGACCCTTTTAAAAAATTTACTAATACGCTTCGAAGATGCAAGAATATTGGAGAACGTAGAAGACATGAGAAAGAGACTGAATCAATTGAAAGCTGTCAACGCGGATCTGATAAGGGAACATGAAATAAGGCGAAACAGTCATCGAGAGTTCACAAAGGCTCTGAAGGAACTGAATATGGGTGTTCAGAGAGCTTCGCGATTTCGTGGTAAGGCATAAGACAAAGAAATGAACCCAGTAAAAACTCGAGAAAGCCATTAGTTACTATATTTTTTCCAGTGGGTAAAGCAGCGGCCAATGCCGTGGCAAAATGTCGAACAGCAATACAAGACGAGAATTCAAAAGCTCTAGGTTTATCTCTAAGATACGGATAAATATGATCTATTCGTAATTAATAAAATCCTTTGACATCATCCTCAACTACTCGCGAATCATTGTTATCGGCTACCGCACCTAAGGTGGCGCTCCTCTCGCAGAAATGCTGAACCTTCTTCTAGGTGGCGGTGGTGTCGGTCTCCTCAAAGAGTTAATAGTACCATCCGTAGATGCGCGTAGCCTGAAAGGGTTGGTCTGATTACCAGGATTACTGGAGATCTCGGTAACGAGTCTAGCAACCTCAGCGAAGACGGCCATGACCTATGGGTTATAAAAAAAAATAGGTGATGTATCTATAGAGAATACAAAGTATTCCTATTGGTGTTTACTAGTCGAGAGTTCGAGGGTGGCTCTCTACTGACTCGCACTGATGCGTGTTGGCGCCAGACGTCAACCATTTCCAGACGTTACAAGCTCAAAAAGTTGTCTGGACATCGCGGGAGGAAGAGATATCGATTTTGTTTACGGCCACGCGTACAATCACGCGTGTACGCCATGACGGGACCGAACCGCAAACAAGACACATGTAGAAAAATAGCGCTCAGTGCATAGGGCAACTCCATCGAGAGCTCTGTCGCTTTCAATGAGTGCATAAAACGTGAAAGCGCATGTGTGTCGGAGCTGCGATACTCGAGGCTGACAACGAAAATGCTGATACAGAGAAACAGTAGACACTGAGGAATGGTCAATGTAATCGGTCCCGATGCCACATAGCATGTGAGGTCTTTGATACGTGTGAAGTCAGCACGATTTTATTTATCCTGCTGTGATAATAGTACCTGGTCGATGGATTCCCTGACGGAGATCTCGTAGAAACCATGGGCTTGTATATCGTCGGCTCTTCGACGACCCTCCCAGGCGGAGACCATCCTTTCACCCGGTGAACAGGATAAGTCTGCCTTGTTGCCGACTAAGAGTACCACCGGTGGTACCTTCCTACCTCTTCTGGCATGACTCACTAGAAACCTGAATAGAGCGTATACTCTAATAAAAATGTAATCTTTGCCTTCTCTATTCAATAACAGACCTCAGCCGGGAAGTCTCGTCGAAGCTGACACGATCAGACACAGAGTACACCAGTAGAATAGCGTCAGCCCATCGTAACTTGGGTTCTGTTGGCGCTGGTGGATATCCTGGTGGATCTGCAATCTCCCATGAACCTAGTGGACCATCAATCTTGTAAATCCTTTCAGTGGTACAGTCATACTCCCCGATGAAGCGTCGCGTGCTGAATCGCACTGCCAGTGCTAAAATTATAACCAGCTTGTATTTCTAGGATCTGGACTCTAGTCACCAGAGGAAGCTGCATGGAGTTACCAGTTTTACCGACTCCAGGCTGACCCAGTAAAATGACTCTTATTGTTTTACAACTGTCACGGTTGGTAAGACCCAAGCTCCATCCTATAGGCGGTGTCATCACGTCTCCTCCACACCTTTATCTCTTTGCATCTAGTTCACCAAGGATTCCAATAACGATACACAATTCACCACGTTCTCATAGGTACTGCCTTCTCACATAATATACTACATCGATTATGACCCCTCTCTAATCCGCGATAATGCTTAATAGCCGCACCTAGGATACACCAGTACGTGCTCCACTTGACAACCCCACGCGGAGGAGCCTCGTTTAGGCGTGTGACGATGTGCTGCTGATGATGTTGACGTTGCAGGGCAAACACGTTTATCCGTCCTGAGCATGGAACTATGGAACACGAATTACCAACGAGTCACAGGTTCTACGAGTTGCTCCTCAGCTCATCCTCAAGAGCACACACGTCAGTGCTCACTATGAACCTGCCTCTTGCAATTACCGTCCACAGCGTAAAGCCTTATCCCGGCAGGCACAGGATTCATCCGCATTAAGTGTCTGTGGGTTAAGTCGTTTGGAAGTTATGGAAATTATAAAAATCATTAAAATTTTATAGTGAATTATAACGTACACAGGTGCTGCAGGATGCGTTTATCATTTTCAAGAAAACGTTTACGTGCTGCTAACGATGCCCAAGGAATAGTGTATACATGTGGTGAGAGGAAAAGAAATAAGGAAACTCTGGATTCTGTTTTTTTAACTCATTTTAAAATCCGAAGCCCTCAAAACCTTTAGCTGATCTATTAATAGTCTGAACAGTTAATGAGCATGCGCCACGGCACTACCTTCGGACCTCTAGCTGGTCCCAGGGTTATCGTAATAGGTTTTTATCGCAGAACCAAAGTATACGTATACGGATACGATGGCGCTAAACGGCAAAAACAAGGAATCCTAGTGGCTGATTACAATGTTCCATACAGATTAGATAGTAGTCTCTGCTCCTCTCCTACGCTCCTCTCTTCTAACATTCCTCGACTTCAATTACTTTCCTCTTGTGGCTTGGAATTTTGTGTATGAAAAAAACCTGCTTGTTTACTCACTCATTTTCTTTTCTTTTTACTTTATTTTACGATTATACTTAACACGCGACTGAATGATGATAGAATGTTCGTTCTCTCACGTTCCCATTCTCTCTCTCTCTTTGTATCTCTTTCCATCATTGACCATAATGAATTTTATGCTGTTCAAAGGAGTTCCCTTTACGAATTCGTCTTGGTCACTTGTTGGCTTGCAGCATATAGTCATTTACATAATGAACCTTGTCCTTGTTTGTTTACAGAAACTCATCATTCCGTCATACTGTAAAATACTAATGGGGGTGATTGTACTAAACAATAGCAAGGGTTTCTGAAAAGAAAGAGAAACCTTGTTATTGTTTAACCACTTGGTTAGATCATATCTGTTGTTGTAACTGTAGTCCAGAGAATATCAATTGTTTCCTGATTCGAATCATCGACCAACAGTTACGGTTGATAGCCTCGGGTTCGAAGTAATTATATTCTTTTTTCTTTTCTTATCGACAACAATCGTCAAAATATTAATAAACAGTATGACCGAAATCGTGTTTATGACCAGTAGAGTGCATTGAAGACGTATTCTATTATCGTGAATGTTGACTTGACAGTTTTGAAAAAAAAAAAGACAGCCAACTTTTATTTTGGCATAGTAATTTTTCTTTCTCTCTCTTTACCGCTTTAACGACTCTCTCCTTCTCTCTCAGACCAAAACGTAATACCTCCTTTGTTTACAAGCCTGCTTACTTTAATGCTCCGTGCATACTAACGTGCACGTGCTGTTATCAAGGATCTCTGTGACTTGACACGCAATATTTCGCTGCAAATACACAAGTTCTCTGAACGATTAAAATAGCTCTTAGATATGCTTAGTTATTGAATTTAAACGCTGGTAGTTTTCTATGACGATTCTTCAACGCTGATGCAATTAATGACGTTATCGTCCACTCAAACGTAACGTACCCGAATTCCCAGTTGTTTACTAATCGGTTGCCGATGCAACGTGCACGTCCATTTAATTATTTTGATACATACAATGTTTTAATGCGAATCTCATATCCATACGACCGACGTGTCATGCACTTTGTCAATTATCACATGCTTTCTCTGTAGACCGCGTAATTGAAGTGCTATTTACAAATACGCCGTCAGCTACGGTCTCATCGGGCGTCTACTTGATCAGAGTTCATTGCAACGGTTAAAGAGATTCAATTAATAACGAAGTTAAAGATATCGAGAATAAGGGAGAGCGGAATTTGACGATAATATCGACTTTAAAGATATTTAAATTTCCCGCCCTCCCAGACTCAGGTTGTGCGATAGGTCCCTAGAGCATTTCCTAGTGATTTTTACGTAAGTGCATACAACTTTATGTAACGTTAGAGAGCCGGGGGTCTTTGTCGCTGTACACAAAGTAAAAAAAATAGATACGAGTGACCGCCGAGTGTAAATACTTCTAGGATTGATACATGGTGCCGACCGCATTCCTGGATAAGGAAATGATTCTAAAAATATCATCAGTCGACACGAACTTAACCCCGTTCTGGTCCACAGGGGTCGGTCGTCACTCATCCTCCCAGGACTGTACAATTATTATGAACACCGAGCGAAGTCTAGTCTGAGCTGCATGCTTAATTTATTTTCTACGAGAGATAATAAATGACAATTTATACGTTCATTGATAATACGTCGTCTGGACTAAAAATGACAGGCGCCGTTTCGACGTGGAGTAAAATATGTCGAGGTTCGAACTTTCCACACGGGCCTCTCTTCCTCGTCGTTATAACGTCATCTTTGCTCCTCCTTCCGTCCCCGTGATCCATTGACAATCGCCTAGAAAAGGAAAGTATTGAAAGAACGTGGAAATCTTTTAATTTTTTTTTTTTTTTAATTCGTTTCTCAACCTTCACGTTTCAGGGCGATCCAGAGTAACTCTCTGATATGGATTTTGACGGTGTCGCTTTACGTGATGGATTTGAATACTCGTGGCAATTGTGGTATCTGCCTATCGCGTGGCACGTGTTTGTATTGTCCATGGAGCCTCGACCCAGACCCTTGGAAACGTAAGACTATCCGACTTTTGTTACATCAAGGTGAAATAAAACGAGGTCATCCTTACCGACTCCCACGGTTGGAGGGTTTCCTCGTTCTTCCTCGTACCTATTTCAGTATGAGAAGGACCTAGGATTTAAGTCGACACTCAAGGATCTCTCATCCTCGTAATCGCGAATCCTTTCATGCTCGAGTATGCTCACTTAAAAAGAAATCCCTTGCGCAGAAAATCTCGGGAGACTCGAGAGATGCATTGTCCGTCGAACGACTTGGAGGCATTGGCAAGTGACTCAAGTAATACTTGTCTTTTTGTCGGTAGGAAAAAGAAAACAATTATCACCAAGTGGCTGGATCGATAAATGAACATGAGATGGCTGAGAGTAAAAATAATAATAGGAAAAAGGAGTGTCACTATAAATATTAAGTGGAGTAATGGTAATGGGGACAAATCTGGTATCCCATTTATTAATAGCATATATTAACAGAGCGTGCACTTGCTTCCTTCTGTCTCTGAATGTTTACAGTGGAGGCGTTATCAGCGTGTCCATTGGCAGAGTCAGGGTATGGAGTCCGAGTGTGACATAGACGGTACCAGTGGCACCGAGGAACGTGGTACCAACAAGAGGCTTCTTGGGAAAGCTTGGTGAACAGACCGTCGGCACCGGTGCTCGTACTCCTATAATCGTGGCCGTGCTAGGTGCTGGGACCTTGCTACCGTTCTTCCACCGATTGTTACAAGAGCGTCTCCAAGGGTCCCACCTAAAGAGCCCCAAGACGACAAAGAGACTCCGTTATTGTCGGGGAGACCCATTATTGGCTGGCTGTAACCTGAGAAGTAATTGAATATCATTAATGAACGAAGCATCGATTTTCAACGGGACTTCATTGCCGTACGAAGTGGTTGTCATCCGTGGATAAGGGATTCTGTATTTTCAAGAGGAAAAAAGGAAACTGCTGATCTTCGATCATTGATACCAATAACTTGAGGATAAATACAAATCCAAGGAATCGCGCATGAAAATTGATTACAAGAAACCCTTCCAGTGCGTTATCACGAGTGTCTCCAGTTACCTTAATGAACAGTGGATCGAAAGACTATAGGAGGGTGAACGTTGATTTTGTTAAATTTCAAAATTGCAGAGTGCCGGAGAACCCTTCTAGACAGTGACAATTCAGAGACCACCTAGTCTCGCCTAGCAAGGGGTACCACCTCACTCTTCACGACCACTTCTACTCATTCATCCCTGTCCCCACCCTCGTGTGGCCAGAAGTCGAAAGTGCTATAAAAGGCGTGATGATGCTGCATGGACGCCCTTTCACGATGGACGCACGCGTCAGGTTGTACTTCCTCGTCCTGACGTTCGTCCTCGTCGTCGAGAATCTCTTCGTGAACGTCCAGTGCGCACCCTATCGCAAATTACAGAAGACCCAAAGACTCTGCTCCAAGAGTCTCAGCCAAGCACTGCACATGGCCTGTCTTGGTCGGGGTTACAACGAGCCTTCCGGTGAGGATAGCTATCAAGGGTCTTCCGGTCCAGGACTCGTCGAGGAGTGCTGCTATAATCCTTGCAGTTTGGAGCAGCTCGAAGCCTATTGCAAACCAGCTTCAGAGGAGAGACCGGACAGGGCTTACAACGCTCTGTAAGTATCCAAGTAATGTTAGAGTTTACTTTTATTTTTCTAGTCTCTCAAACGGATAAACCACAATCGAAGAGGTATCGATGTCTCCACTTTTCAAAACATCAGAGAAGCTTTTGCTTGTACGGCGCGCTTAGCTTCGTTATCGCCAGACAATATTTTGCGTTTCGCCTTCTCAGATAACTGGCAGGATTCAGTGAGACTTTTAGTTGATTTTTTAAAGATATCCTTCCGATCGTCCAGGTATACGAATCTGATAAATCGGATAAGTCACAATAATTGATTTCTTATTGTCACTTCGTTTATCTGTCTGCTTGGATATACCATAAGTTCACCAAGTGTACTATTGATACTGGGTATGGCCATTTGGCGACTACGACGACGACGACCATGTCAACTACGACGGGGACGCGGTCAGGGGTACTTAAGTCCGAAGTGCTACGGGAACACTATCTATAGACAGTTATGTGACTTGTTTTCCCTAAATTAATCTTTCGTTGTTGCATAAGTGTTTACATGGGCAACGAGCGTGCGACCATGTCTGCGTGATTGTTGAGGACGTTTGCGCATAACGTTCGAAAATTCAAGGACTCGCTAATGAATTCATTTTCTCTTACAGGGACGCACCCTTCACGATAGTCAATCTGCCTTATTCCTCGGTAAAGGAGATGGTGGCACAGGATCGTCCGGGCGCCATGCCAAATCACGACAGGCTGAAAAAACGTAAGGATCGACGTCGCGACGGTCATCCAGGAAAAAAGCATGAGGGTGGTGCTCGTGAAAAGGGCGATAAGGGACGCAGAAAGTGGTGTAGGTGCCGACGCCGACGTCACAAACGTCGTCGTTACGGCAAGGTGTTTCTACACTAACAAAAATAACAATTCTATTGTATTTCCTCTCTAAAATTCACGTTACCGTCACATTCGTTCAATGAAGATTTATTTCTACACGGTTGAATCTTGCGAATGCTGCATGTATCATTTTGCATGTCAAAGTAACTCTAGATTATTTATTGCATGGTCAAGGGTATCTAAATAATCGTATATTCTAGGTTTACGCTGTAGAAATTGATTAATTAAAATTTTTCTCATTTACCATTGTTACAGGTTCTACAGGAAATGGTGATTCCTAGTGTGCCTGCCTTTCAAGTGGGAACGACGTCACCCGAACCGATTGACTCTATAGTGCTATTTCCATCAAAATCCTATGCAGGATTTAAGTGACTGTTTAAGTGTACGTTACCTTTTTGCTTCCTTTAAAAGAAGGACTGCTCTTACGTTTCTATGAGAAAGGCACGACTTAAGGCGAATGAACGAAGGTGGTGTGTTCTCTTATATACTTAGATTTATAGGACAAATCCCAACGAATTTCTCATAGTTCACTGATCCGAATATAATTCGGATTTCATAATGGGAAAATGGCGAATTCCATATCCCACAGATGTAATTTACTCGCTATCACATTCATGTATCCATTTCGAATTCAATTCGGATAATTGTGTATAACTTCTTGAGAAGCGATACAACGCTTTCCCATATTATTGAGAAAGACATGAGTTCAGAATCGAACGGAGGCAATGAAAGACTATTATATTCGCTTTAGGTATTTAATGCAACTAAGCGATCTGATGTTGCCAGTAATTTTATCGTAGAATTAATATCTGCCGACTGATGATCTCACTAGTATTTAATTACGATTAATCGACTTACAATTAGTATAGACATTGTAGGCGGATTATTTTATTAAACCGTAGAGATATTATTCGTAATGCGATATAACACTGAGATCGTAGTTATATTTCCTGTGTGGGATAACCAGCTAGCAATAAGACTTGCGTTTTTATGGAATTATAAATCAATTATTAATCAGTACAGATATTCATTATTTACCATCGAGCCTTGGCAGCTGTCATGCTTTAGCGTATTGTAGAATTAATTAATAATACTTCAATATCATTTATACATCTAGATACTCGGATATGATTTGGTAATCAAATAATTTAGTAGACCATATTCAAATAAATTATTTATTAATTTCATTACGGCGCAAGTCGTACACTTACACGAAAAGATTAGTTTACGAAGTGAACGAAGATAAATATAAGGTAGTAGAAGGTTAATTAAAAGTCTTCTGAAATTGATAATCCAAGTCACGTGCAGGGTATGAGCTTCTCGTCCAGGATGCAGTTATTTAAATTTTGACAGCACTTGGCAGCCATTTCAATGAAGAGCTTTTTAGCGTCTTCCTTGCTCATAGAAGCCCTCGGCAACCTCTCGTAGACTTTGTAGAGCTCCTCTACCTCGTTACTCGTCAAATCCATTCCCAGATTGTCTCCAGCTCCCTGTCACATTTCCCAATCTTGAAAATATTCAGCCGCAGTCGCTAGAGACTAGGTTTACAACCACTGGTCTTATAGCGCTACCATCGACCTTAGTAATCTGCATGACATCCTCAACGACGGAACATCATCTGAGGCTGCGTAAGTACGGGACCAAGGGAAATGCAAGCAAGACAAATATTTTGCGTTAGTCACTTGATAGTTGGGTTTGAGCAAGACGAGAGGAACATTCATTTATTTTGATCCTATGAAAATTTATCTTACCTGGAATCCACTGTAAACGTCTTGTCCGTAGCCTCCGTATCCTCCGTAGCCACCAGGTCCTCCGTACCCAGCAGGTCCTCCGTAGCCACCAGGACTACCGTAAGGGTTAAATGGTGGGTATCCACCCCGGGGAAAATATTCACCAGCTATTCTGCCGTATTGGTATGGATTGGGTCCACCAAATTGTCCTCGGTTCATTCCATGGTTTCCTTGTAGCATATCCATTACTATTGGTGCCGCCTCAGCGATTGCAGAGGCTGCAGCTTCTGCGTTGACCTGTCTTTTGTCGTACGTATTCCCGTCACTTGATTCTGGTTCCTGATGTACTGCATCTAATTATTTTAAACTCGATTAAAACACTGTACAATTCACGCACGTGCCAAATTTATTAATACGGTTGTAACGGTCACTTAGAAAATTATTTGCCGATTTTCAGGATTCCTTTACGTACCATCCTCGGGGATTGCTGCATTCTTGACGTGTTCAAGATCCCTGGTGAATCGAGCACCGCTGCAGTGCTTCATAATGACGTCCATCATAGCATTCTTGCAGTGCTTGATCGCCAACACACTCGGACCGTTCTCCGCGAGTAGCAAAGCCGCGACCAGGAGGATCAGGCTATTCCTTGCAAAAGAGAATCCCGACATTCTCGAAAGAGCTGTGAACCGTATTGGGACTTCGGCTGCAACTTGATCCGACATGGGGTGGACACCCGGTTATATTCAATCCTTATCTGGAACGTGGCGAAACCAAGGCCTGCAATCGCACCATTTGTTTACCTGAGTTATTGCAAATCCGTCGAGGATGGTCACGCATTCAGAATCCAGTTCAAGTCCTTATTATGCCTACCTCAGCACCTGGGGAATGAGTTTTAACATACGAAACCGAGGCCGCCTATTTCGCAGTGTATTTACCTTTGCGTTCATGTGCTGACATCGACTGCATTCTTAGAATCATTTTGCAAATCTAATATGTAGAATGATTGAAGAAAGTCCAATGAAAATTGTACTCTGATACATATTTCACATTTTGTATTCATGAACTTTAACCTTGCGACAGTCAGCCAGTCTCTTCTTAGAGTTCATAACCTAAAAAGACGGATTAGTTATAGAAGATCCGAGTCACGTTTTCTTAGTTGGACATTACCTAAGACGGAGGAAAAACGCGCTTTTACCTAGAAAGGATGTATTTACATTGGGATCCAGTACAGTCTCCCGAGTCTACTACAATCTTTTTCCATTAGGACATTCATCGTGTTGGCTGGGAATTGATTCAGTCGCGGTAACACAATTCTTGATCCAGTTACTACGTAGATCCGATCTACACGAGGCTCCCCTTGACCTCCGATCGGAAAATTCCAATTTCTTATATGCATCAGAAGAGACGTTGATTTACAGCGCGTGAACATTTTCCTCGCACTGCGAACGCGATTCCTCGTGGACAGCAAAACGTGAGGCGATGCGAAAGGCGCAAAATATTTTTAACAGTTTACGTAATTACGCACGTATCGCGCACGTTGGATTCTCGTGCAGTCAACACATTTTTCGAAAGATTCTTTCGTCGAGGCATCAATGATATTGTTACCGTTGTTATTTCTCGCGGTTGATTAGTCCCTGTGACTAACAGGTCATATTTCTATTTCGCTTTTAATCGCTAATTCACAACATATGGTTTTACCCTGTTTCGCAGAAAAATTCTCGGGTCTCGTGTCTAATCACATTCTTATTAATTTGAACTCGTACATATTTACGGACTGCAGTGCGATTAAAGATACGGTACGGCATTTAACATACAATATGTATTATTTATTGAAAAATTTATGATTGAAAATTATCCCTGCACTAGACATTGTAAATCTATCATTTATGTACGTTGCGTCATTCTTTCATATCAAATACTATGTTTTCAAATGTAAAATATTTATTTTCCTTTTTTTACATATTATGGAACAATGTGTCATTGCTGGTTAAGCACAATTAATTACGTCGTTGTGTAATATTAAAATTGGATAAATTCATGTAACGATAGTTTCGGAACACGTCACGCGAGGGCAGCACCATCCAGCAACCGACTAATGGTTCCCATTCATATTCATCTACATGTATCGACAGCAGATCACAGATGACATGTACTAAGTAACCCGGACAATTTTAACTTCCTTATATTTTATTCGTAATAATCGTTTAGTGGCGATCGATAGTCTGATCAGAAGGTTTGATGATGAATAGCTTTTTGGAATATTAAAAACAAACTTTAGAGATAGCTAGACCGAACAAATATTAATTATTAACTGATTTTGTTCGGTAGGAAGAGGGTAAATCGATGCTGAGGAGTTTCCAAAGGGCAAACGAGACGTATAAGGCAGACATGAGTAGGAACAAGCACAACGCTAAGGTTTTAGGCGATACCAAAATCATAGCAACGAGTCTGGAAATAGGATTTTGTGATCATCGCCTCCGTCGACAATGCGAATTCCGTCGTAGCCGAGCTAAACGTGAACACGAACGCGTAGCTTGACGGGCAGAGATTCTTCGCTACTCACCGCTGTGTGCGACAGCCACAGCACTCGGGGGTTTCCCATAATAAAAAAAAAAACACAGTCCCCTATGGGGCCTCGGAGGGGTCGTAGCTCCCTTCAGGAGAGGCAGGACCTCACGGAAATGGGCGGGGAGGGGCCCATTTCGCTCCCTTATACTTCCAACTTTTCCCACTCTTCTCTTTTATCGCTCCTCCACAATAATCTGGTCTTCGTGCATACGCTTTACGCATCTTCTTCTCCTCTTGTTCCCTCAGTCATAACCATCTTTCTTCTTCACTCTTTCTTTTTAACAATCTTCGTCTTTTCCCATTCAACAACATCTTCTCTGTCTGCTGCCACCAAACGTTTCTACTCTATTTTCGAATTTCCTATTA